TTCTGAAGACAATCCTATTGCACCTTTAATGTTTATTTTATTTCAAGTAATAGAAAATGTTTTTATGGTTTTAGTTTTAGTTAACTACTGTATAATAACCCTGACTAGTATTCCAGTCATGGTCAAGATATCTTCTGCAGCCATGACCAGCATTATAGCAAAATACACATAGGAATTAGTCATTAAAGTCTTATATTCTCTATCTCTGACCCATCAGGCTGATCTACAGGAAGTGTGCATCATGAAAAACTGATTTACATCATCAATGACAGCTGATCCTGGGTCAGTAATGTGGTTAGGCAGCTAATGGTCCATGTGCATTTGTTATGCAGAGAAACCTGATCAGAAGACCATATCAGTTATGGAACATCAACTTTGTGCGAAGGCAAACCCTAGTAACACCCTAGCATCTTCTCAATGTTTCTCAACGAAGAGTATACAGCTGCAAAATTGGACTTTACTATCTGCAATGATATATTTAATACCATTAGATTAAATATATTCAAAATATGTGGACTTGTAATTCAGTTTGTGAGCAGCAGAACACAGTGCATGTGTATCAGAGTGAAACACAGACCCATCAGTCTGGATGAAGGACTCTCTGTGACAGAGACCACACTTGTGTCTGGTGTTCACCAGCGCTGTGCATCAGCTCAGTTGGTAACATGGTCTTCAGTGTACCGAGCACTAAGGGGATCAAACCGTGTAAGCAAGCTCATTATTATAATCATGGATCCCGTTCCCCCCGCACAATTCATTAGGAGAGTGAGGCTGAATTCCTCATTCATGTTAACGCTATTAGCTGTCATGCACCAGCAGCTGTTCCTGGTCATGTGATCAGTCAGAGTTGCTAGAAACACGGGTAGAAAGAGTGTGACATTTATATTTATCAGAAACAGGCTTATAATGGGAAACATACAACTGGACATAAGCAATTATGCATATGATGCTGTTTGCTGGCAGCAAGCAAAAACCCAGAGTGCATGCGCATGTCCATATTCAGAACAAACTAAAGTTGTAATCAATCTTATGTGAAAATATGGAGTGCTGCTGATACTTTTTGTGAAAAAAGGGAAAAACAGAAAAAGGAGAGACAAATAATAATGTTTCTAAAAACAAAGAAGCCCACAGAGGCCACACCTAACTTTTCTGCCTTGTTTTCCTGTGATATTGACATAAATGTCAGGTTTTCTTATACATATACAATTTACAAAATTTTAAATGATAAAATTACATAACTATCATCCTAAGTGTTTGTGTGTGTTTTACATATTGTGCGATTTACATATGTTTAAAGTAAAAATGAAAAGTCTAAAAAAATAAAGATAAAAAAGTATTAATAGAAAAACAATTAAATACAGAAGGTGTTTCTGTTCATGTAGCCATATTTACCTCAAGTAAATACAGCAAGTGACTCTTTAAAAAAAGAAAATGCAAAATGCTAATGTAATATGAAGCATCATAGCACATTTCATAGCACTTTTGTAATCTAATTCATCAGATGAAGTATGCACTCTGAGAGCTTTCAGAACGCAGACAAAAAGCATCGTAGAGGTATGAAAAGACTGACAAACATTGGATGCATATAAATAATCTGAAATCAACATAAAAAACAGCATGGTTTGTGTGAGGGTTATGTAAAAATAGAAAACAACTCAGTATATAAACAATAGATGGTCAATGGAAAGTTTCCAACATAACAGAAAAACAAACGTGTGTGTGTGTGTGCGTGCGTGTGTGTGTGTGCACTGAGGTGAAAGACATGTTTGATGGATGCAGTTAGTGGTTTCTGCTATAATGTCATTCCACCCACACGCTCCAACAGAGAGACAGAGAGTGAGAGACAGATAATAAGAGAGACAGGAAAAAAACTGCACGGTCAGAGACAGCCATTGTTTTCTCAAGCCTATCCAAAAATAAAACAGCAACACTACAGACAAAGAGAGAGAGACCCACGACTGTCCAAATATTGACAACTAGTACCCTGGAGCTGTCAGAAGAGCGGTTCCTATTTTTATTTTTAACATATATAGTGGCCACAGTATATGGACCTTGAAGTCACACTTAAAAATATGTGAATGTCTCTGCATTAATTATTCAACAATATTATTATTATTATATCTAATGCCTTTTGACATTTTAGGGTGCCATTTATTTTAAAGAAAGAGCACAAGAACACTTAAATTAATAGTTAACACAAAACTGAAAATTTGCTGGACACACATACACGTGTGTTTTTCTACTATTGTGGGAACTTTCCTTTGACTTCTATTGTTCACATACTAAGTTTCTTACAAACATGCAGCTTTTCACTTCACAAGACATTAATTGATGGACTGGGGTCATGTTGTGGATTATTGTGATGTTTTTATCAGCTGTTTGGACTCTCATTCTGACGGCACCCATTCACTGCAGAGGATCCATTGATGAATTTCTACAAATCTGTTCCTATGAAGAAACGAACTCATCTACATCTTGGGTGGCCTGGGGGTGAGTACATTTTTGGATGAACATTCTGAACCGACTTCATATATCCACTTTGAAATGAATAAAACATCAGCTGATTAAATCTCATCGAGTAAAAAATGATGACAAAAAGTGATGTTATGAAAGAGACAATATCTTGCAGCATTTGAGACTTATATGATACAGATATGGAGACTTGATTTGATATTTTATTAATATCTAATGCAGTGACATTCAGACATTTTAAGTCCATAATCAGCCTACTTTTGAGACTGCTGCAGGAAACCCCAGATGTTCTGGGATCTGCTCCTGGACTCTAAACCTCTAAAGATTTGCCAAAGAAATGCAGCCAGTCTGAGTGCTGGAACACAGAAGTGGTCTTGTGACTGACAGAGATCAAAGGTGAAAATATCTGATGCTGTTGTGTGCTGGGCTGATGGATTTCACCTCTAAACAATAACACAGACCATAGGTATAGTTCAACCAAAAAAAAAAAAAAAAACGCTCTGTAATCACTCGGGTCTCGGATCAAATCTTTTTTCCATGAAACACAAAAGGATATATTTTGTATGGAAAAGAGCGGTGTAAACAATGGAAGCACATGGCAACTACATAGTGATCAAAAACCTTGTGCACTTTATTCCAAATCTTCTGCTGTTATATAACAGCTTTGTGAGAGGAACAGACTGAAATTGTACTATAAACTACAAATCTTTCCCTCCACAGCAGCTCCCAAATCTCATTCAAACTTCAATTTTTAAACTTGGTATGTTGCATTCGGTTAAGGGCCACGAAAACAAATGGGGTCACTGACATCAAACTTGGTGCAAACAAAAAAATTCAAGATATATTGAATATCAACAAAATGCTGAAAAAACATATAGATTTTTTTAAAACTCTATGACCATTAAAACCTTTGACTTTTTACAGACATTAATGACTGATTATGGGTAATTTCACAAGATATATTTTACATTTAAAAACACAGGAATTAACCCTATAAAGCCTACCGTATATCGTATTTCTAAGGACTGATTTTAATAAAATAAACATAACAATTACTTGATATTTTAGTAATATTTCTAGATGAACACTTACTGGACTTGAGCAACTTCAGGTTTACTTGATTATCCATACATACATTTTTAGAAAAATCTTGTTCAAAAGGGAGAAGTTTATTTGTTCATCATTGTATTGTATTGCATATGTTTTGATCATCAAACTAAACATTTAAATACCATCTTCTTACTAAGACCTGTTATTGGGAGATATAGAGTGACGACTGATATTTATATAATTTGTAAATAGTACATAGTCTGCAATACTGGTTTACATTACATTACTTGCTATCAGAATTTCATCATACTTTTCGACATAAATATCAGCATTTGTACCAAATGGCATATTTCGCTCAGTATGAGCTTCATATTCTCATATCTACTACCTGTACATGAGCTACATAAGCCATAATAACCAACAAAAAACACATTTTAATCAATTTTTTTATAAAGTTTCATTAAACAGTTCTATTTCAAAATGTGAGATTTTTCTGTCTAGTACGTCATATCCCAAATAAAACCTACCGTAAGCCTTCAGTCAGTTTGGAGTTTAATGGCACTTTTTTTCCGTCAGTTTTGGAGCTTGATGTTACAGTTCAGAAAAGAGCAGCAGAACATTCTTCAAAACATCTCCATTTGTGTTCAAACGGCACGAAAGTGAGTAAATAATCACAGAATTCATCATTTCGATGTGAACTATTCCTTTAAATAAACATTTCTCAAACAGATTTTCTTTTGCGTACATATATTATTCAACCGAATGTAGGTCAGAGAAAACCACACACAACGATAGGAGGATCTTGCCAGATGCTAAGCATTTTGCACCGTTACAAAATAATCAAAACTGGCAGCATATTTTCCTTGGCTTCGCAAAAACACATATTTGTCTAAAAATAGCCAGACGCCCTTTCATTTCACACCTATTTTCATCTAAGCCGTGATGTCCTGCAGTTTTAAACGGGGAAGACAGCAGACGAGGATTTCATCATCAGCAAAGACAAACGCTTTTGTGTTTTTCAGTCTAACGTCATTGCGACAGACAGGACTGACGGATCCCATCATCATCTCTCTCTCTCTCTCTTTGGCAAGCTGACAAACTTCTCGCCCTCTTTGGCCTATTAAAATGATCACCATCAATGAAAGATTTTAACATGAAACGTGTCCCTTCAGAGAGCTGAGCTACAGATGGAGGATCTGTAAGATGCTTCGGTTAATAACATTTTCCTCAGCATCAGAACGACCCGACACAGGAATAATTTCACAGCAATCACTGATCAAACAAGGACTAGTTATGAGTCACACCAAAGGGTGCCGCTTTCACCGGATAACCATTTCCTGTTTACAAGCTGATGTCACAGGGTAACACACTGCATTCCCAAATAAGAAGAAAACAGTTCAAAAGGGTAAAAACTGAATGGCTTTAATCCACTAGAGACTGTCGGGGAGACCACGCATCCTGCTAGCAGGACTACTCACCTTCTTTGAGGGCTTTATCTACATTGAGGGACACCACAACCCTCCTGGTCTGGGCTGAATCCAGCAGAGGAACACAGAACCGGCCCTACAGAGTGAGGAAGACAATCATTAGACATTAATCATTCATGACAACCAAACACAACACTCATTATGTAGAAAACCAATTAAAAGAGCCAAAGGACATTTTTAGTACCAGTTACATGGGTTACAAGTCCTGGCATTGATCCTATGTAGAATATATAGTACAAGCCAATACAGTACTTTTACGATATCAGGTTGAGATTAACAACACAATCCCAACAAAGAAAAAAAACAGATAATAAAGTCTGGCTGACTTGTAAGAACTGGAGTTTTCTATGTATTTGCCAATAAATTGAGTAATATTTACTTTTGTGTATATTGAGTCTTCACAGTGGAATATTCGTGTTCTTGTTTTGTTTACAGTGTAAGTGAATCTCACTCAGCCTATTTATTTCATTTGTATAAATTATTTACATATGAATATAAATTTACATTTAAATGAAACATATTAAATATGTTTAAAATATTTTTCTTAGTTTTTTTTAATTAAGCTAAGCATATTTAAATTTACCTTGAAATCACAAGTGTGGGTGGATGGATGGATGGATAGTATAATACATAATATATAATAATTATGTCAATTTAAATACATACATTTTTAAATGTATTTACATCTACCACAAAAGACTAAGAGGAATATAAATATACATAAAACAGAGCTGTTATTATGCCAAATGGAGGTTACAAAAAGCATTGAATAAAAGGGTGCCGTTAATTGTGTCCAATGTGTATTACAGAAAAACATTTATGTCATAATGATATTTCCCCCCATTTTAAATTCTTATTCTCCAGTGAAAGGTTAGATTTATGTGAATTTTTTTAATAAAAGATCAAAATGATTAACAATGCAGATTTATTTTCACAGCCTTCTTTGATCATATTTACCAAGGGTGCCAATAATTCTGACCACGACTAATATATATATATATATATACATACACACGTGTGTGTGTGTGTAAACATGTCATCACCATCAGACAGAGTCACATTCTTTAAACAATCACAGTGACCGTGTAAATGATCGTTTGGGTGTATTTGTGTGGATGTTGTGATGTGACATTACCATTAACTTATTGAATAAATCCATGAGCTTCGATGACTGTCTCCTAGTGGTGTCAAATCTGCTGATCTTCAGGGGGCTTTTCTTCACCAGCAGCCCGAAACCCCCCAGCAGGAAACAGAACAACGCGAAGGACACATAAATAAAGAGTTTGAGGAAAAACGAGGTGAGAGTGAGTTCTCCAGAGCCGAGCTGGAAGACCAGCACTGCCGCCGCGATGCCGACGACCAGAGACGGGTACACGGCGCTGCTGGGCATGAGGACATCCGAGCTGCTGCTGATGCTGCTGCTGCTGCTGCTTCGGCCATCAGGATGCATGATGCTGCTGCTGCTGCTGCTGCTGGAAATGACATGTCCTCACGTGCGCACAACAATAGACAGGCTGCATGCCCCTTGAGCTCACAGCCCAGATTCCACTCATCACAAAGTGCGTTCAATTCAGAGGGGAAGCGCAGATGATCCGGGCGTCTGAGCACCTTAATGCAAGAAATGCACATGCAACTGTTGCATCTGAGCAGTTCAATGACAAGCAGTGCACTTGAAATGATGATCGGCCAGATAACCTGGCTGGCTCTAGGACAGCTTAAATGGCTGCTAATTCAAATCCTCCACAAACGCATAAGGAACATCAAGTGCACACAAAGGACGTCAAGTTAGAAACAACAAAGCAGATGTCCACACAAGCTCATCCAAATCTATCACAACATCTCGAGACGCGACCAGGTCCACTGACGCCTGTACAAACAACGGCTGGAACTTTTAAGCCTCAGACGTGGAATAAAGATGTAAATGCTAAGTGTTCAGTCCCCGGTGTTTTCATTATCCACCGCGACTGATCCAAAATGTGGCAAAAAATGAAACTTCTTATCAATCCGTCGCGTTGAAAAGCGGTCTCAGTTCTGCTTAGATCCCCAGCTGCCTTTCGAGTGGCGAATTTGCGAGTACTACGGAGAAGCGGTTGTTTATGAATATTAATTACGCAACGTGACGTTCGATCAATCGCCCATATTGATTGGTCGAAAAAGCAGACGTCGGTGCGTAGGCGGTAGTCGGCTAGCGAATGAGCGAATGAGATTTGCCTCATGAATAATTATTAATCACTTGACTGGAAGCTGGCGGAAGGTTACCAAGCAACGTCAGGATTGTCTGATTAATATTCATAAGAATAAGTCTTTCCCGTAGTAGGAAAAGCGACACGGAGACTATGGAGCCTCGAGTAGGCCATAAATCACACACAATGGGTCCAAACAACAGTGAAATGCCTTAAATCTTTTGAAAAATCCATGACCCAGACTGGTTATAACATACTTTGTGGGTCTGGTTGCTTGTTTTTGTTTTGTTGAGAAAACGGGGAATAATGAATGCGAGTCTTGAACATTTAAGACCTAAGTTACTATACTCAATATAATAAAATAACGTCTTACATTCAGAACAGTATATATCTTGACAGAGATGTGGTACTAGCCAACTAGTCAAGTAATTTTACATTGATCAAAAAACTGCCCTATGTGTTATCGACTGAGTAGAGCAGGGGTGCCCAAACGCGGTCCTGGAGGGCCTTCAAGTTTCTAGTATGCCTAGTAAGAGCTTGATACAGCTGATTCAGGTGTGTTTAATTGAGGTTGGAGCTAAACTCTTCAGGACACCGGCCCTCCAGGACCGAGTTTGGGCACCCCTGGAGTGGATGTACAAAGACCGTTTACAAAACAACAGAAAACAGATGGAGAACATTAACAAAAATGAAGATCATATCTTACTAAAATATAAAACTTTTAGTGAAAATGTGCAAATTGGTTCATTCAACGCCAACATAATTTCTTCTACTTCATCAGCAATGAATGATATTTACAACTCAAAAATAGAGGCAGTGCAGCAAAAAGCTGATAAAAATGTTTTTCTTGGCATTTATCCGACACCATGGCACACCCTAAGGCATAAAATGTGTGTTTGATATCTGCGCTCCTGCAGTCCTCCGTCTGATATGGTCTGACAGAGTGAATGCAGTGGGGGGATCTCTAGAGCGTCAGCAGCAGCAGCGGCAGCAGGCAGCTGTAGATCAGAGCGGCTTGTACGGCGCCGGCCGAGCTCCTCATCATACACTCCACACGAGACCATGAGCCGTTGTTGGGCAGTGGTTCGATCCCCAGCGTCTTGCACAAAACATTATACACATCTACTGTTCGGATGGGACTGGCGCGGAAGTTCGTCTTGAAGTCTGAAATAAATAAATAAAAACAAACCAAATCCAAATTTACAACTGTTTTAATTACATACTGAATATTAGGTTTTATATATGTACTGTATATATATATATATATATATATATATATAGTTGTGCTCAAAATTATTCATACCTTTGATAAATACGATCAAAGAAGGCTGTGAAAATAAATCTGCATTGTTTATCCACTTGATATTTCATTTTTTTTTTTTAAATCTAACCTTTAATTAAAGTAAAATTAAAAAAAGTGAAAGTGGGGGGAAATCACATTATGAAATAAATATTTTTCTCTAATACAGTAAGAGGACGTATGTCTATATCGTCCTAATGCACGGTGAGGAGGAGAGTTTGAGTGGCTAAAGACTCTCCAAGGACCACAGCTGGAGAATTGCAAAAAATCGTTGAGTCTCAGGTTGTTTGGGAGGGTTTCAAGAAAAAACTAGAAAAGAAAACGCTCTCATCCAAAAACAAACTCCAGCATATTCTGTTGTCAGACATGACTGGAACTTTAAACGGGATTGAGTTCTATGGTCAGATGAAACTAAAAAAATTAGCTTTTAAAAAAAGGATAAAAAAGTACCCCATGTGTACAATGAAATATACTGCCGTATTTTTAATGTTGTGGGCCTATTTTTCTGCCGGAGATCCTGGATATCTTGTTCAGATAGATGGCATAATGGATTCTATAAAATACCAATGGATAAAAAATTTAAAACTGACTGTCCAACTGACTGCTAGAAATCTTATAATGGGCCATGGTTGGATCTTCCACCAGGACAATGATCCACAAAACAAAAATGGGTCACTGAGAACAAAACCAAGCTTCTGCCCTGACCAACCCAGTTCCCTGACCTGAATCCTATTGAAAATGAGTGGTGAACTGAAGAGAAGCATCAACATGCAGCTGGAAATCTGAAGGCTCTGGAGAGATTCTGGATGAAGGAATGGTCTCTGATTTCCTGTCAGATGTTCTCTAAACTCTTCAGGCATTATAGGTGAAGACTCAGAGCTGTTCTCTTCGCAAAAGGAGGTTGCAAAAAGTATTGGATAAACGGGTATGATTAATTGTGTATTAGAGAAAAACATTTATTTCACAATGAGATTTCTCTCCCATTTTAAATACTTATTCTCCAATGAAAGGTTCGATTTTAGTGAATTTTTTAAATAAAATATCTAAAGGATTGATGATACAGATTAATTTTCACCTGAATCCTATTGAAAATGAGTGGTGAACTGAAGAGAAGCATCAACATGCAGCTGGAAATCTGAAGGCTCTGGAGAGATTCTGGATGAAGGAATGGTCTCTGATTTCCTGTCAGATGTTCTCTAAACTCTTCAGGCATTATAGGTGAAGACTCAGAGCTGTTCTCTTCGCAAAAGGAGGTTGCAAAAAGTATTGGATAAAAGGGTATGATTAATTGTGTATTAGAGAAAAACATTTATTTCATAATGAGATTTCTCTCCCATTTTAAATACTTATTCTCCAATGAAAGGTTAGATTTTAGTGAATTTTTTAAATAAAATATCTAAAGGATTGATGATACAAATTAATTTTCACAGCCTTCTTTGATCATATTTACCAAGGGTATGAATAATTTTGAGCACAACTGTATATATCTTTTTTTTTCTTTTTTTTTTGTGGAAACCATGATAAGCTTTTTTCTTAGGGTTATTCTTTGATGAATGTAAAGTTAAAACATTTTTTGAAATATTTTTTTGCAACATTACAAATGTATTTTTTACCAATTTAATGCACCCTTGCTGAAAATAAAAAAAAGTCAAATAAAAATGATAATTTGATGCGTTAACAGACTAAAACAAAACCCTTTTAACCGTTTTATTTAAATACTGAATATTAGGTTTAATTATATATATATATATATATATATATATATATATATATATATATATGTATGTATGT